GCTAAGAGCAACATGCTGGGAAGGAATGACAAAGGGGTATCTGTTTTGAATAACCAGTAACATTTGTGCGGTTGGACTAGTTCCCTTCCAACTCTACAGTTCTATGATTTTATATAAATGCATTTCATGCACCGGTAGTGTTTAACCAAACCAATCAGGGAAGGAATGTCCCTGAGCCCACTTCCTAGTATTTCCACTAATGAGGAAAAAGAAACTGGGGTGATTGACATATACTTGGGCAAAAATTTCATTCTCCTGTAGTCAACTGCTTTAAATATGTTAAAGTTATAAAACGATACCCACTTGGTTTAGGAGTTAAGTCCCACTGGGCCCAGCATGGCTTACTTGTGAGTAGGCATGTATAGATCGTATTGAAGGTAGTCTTAAAATTATTGGGTGAACCTACATTTTGCGCGTTGCACTTTCATGCCCCTTGCCCTGCAGTGGATTAAGTGGTACTCCTACTCAGAGTAGACCTATTGAAAATAATGGAAATGATTAACGTGGCTCCACTCATTTCAGTGGGTCTACTCTGTTCAAATGCAGATACAGCCCTCAGACTTCCACATATATATGCAACACAAAATTCCCAACGGCCACGTTATACATTCTGCATGTTCCAAAACAGTGAGGATTAAAGAACTGATACCATCACTGTGAGGGACACGGGTGGCGCTGTGGGTAAAACCTCAGCGCCTAGGACTTGCCAATCGTCAGGTCGGCGGTTCGAATCCCCGCGGCGGGGTGCGCTCCTGTTGCTTGGTCCCAGCACCTGCCAACCTAGCAGTTCGAAAGCACCCCCGGGTGCAAGTAGATAAATAGGGACCGCTTACTAGCGGGAAGGTAAACGGCGTTTCCGTGTGCTGCGCTGGCTCGCCAGATGCAGCTTGTCACGCTGGCCACGTGACCCGGAAGTGTCTGCGGACAGCGCTGGCCCCCGGCCTCTTAAGTGAGATGGGCGCACAACCCTAGAGTCGGACACGACTGGCCCGTACGGGCAGGGGTACCTTCACCTTTATCTTACCATCACTGTATATTTTTGAATGCAATAACAACATGTGCCCAGATAACTACCTGTAATCATAATATTATTATTCTTTTCTACCCATCCTTTCCTCTGTATCAGGGGCAGGGAACTTGTCGCCCTTCATGTGTGGACTCCAGCTCCCATCAGCCTCAGCCAGTATGGATGATGGGAGTTGGAGTCTAACCACATTGGGAGGGCAACCCTTGCCATAAAGCACCATGAGTCAATCATGTCAGGTGACAGATTCTAACACTGGCGTTAGATCTCCCACCTCCACTTGCAACCTCTCTGTGTGACGTGAGAGCAGGTCTTGAGGGCTGCAGCTCAGTAGGAGGGCATGTGCCTTGCACACAGAAGGCCCTGAGTTCAATCCATGCCATTCTACAGGTAGGGCTCTTGGGAAAGTCTCCTAGTCTGAAATCCTGGAGAGCTACAGCCTGTCAGTGTAGACCAAACTCAGGTCTCCAGGTGTTTTTGGACTACAGTTCCCATCATCCCTGACCACTGGTCCTGCTAGCTAGGGATGGTGGGAGTTGTGGTCCAAAAACAGCTGGAGATCCGTTTTTGAGAAACCCTGGTGTAGACAATACAGAGCTCCCAAGTCGATGGTTTGACTCTGTAAGGCAGCTTCCCATACTCCCATGTCCTATGCATAAAAAGGAACCCACTCATGACCAGCAACACATTGATTCTTGCCAGATGTTCCTCTCTCACACCCCCTTTCCTTGTCCCAGACTAGCTTCTCAGAACAGTTTTATTCAGCTCCTGGTGGGCCACCCCTGTGTTCTGTGTTGGGTCAGTTCCCTGTTGCGCAAACCTGATTCAGCAAAGTGGACTCAGCTGCATTCACAGCAGTCTGTCCTGACAATCTTAAACAAGATGGGCCAGTGGTCTGATTCATTAGCTTCCTGGATAGCTGTCAGTAGAGCACGAGACTCTTATTCTCATGGTTGTGGGTTTGAGCTCCAGGTTGGGCAAAAGCTACCTGCATTGCAGGGGGTTGGACTAGATGACTCTCGGGGTTCCTTCCAACTCTACAATTCTATGATTCTATAAAGCAGCTTCCTATGCTGGCAGGCCAAGAATGCTTAAAGATGGACCGGTTTGGGCTAGGAGGCAGGCAGCTAGTTATGACCAACTATGGAGCTTTCTGCAACAAGATGTGGCAACGGCCACAACAGGCCTGGGTGGCTTTAAGAGATGATTAGATGCATGGATGCATGGAGGGTAAGGCTCCCAGTGGCTACTAGCCATGGTGGGGCAGTGTCCCGTCTCCAGGACCAGAGGCAGTGTTGCCTCTGAAGATCAGTCCCTGGGGAAGAACAGCAGGAGAAGGCTGGTGGTAGGCATCTCAGAGGGATCTGATAGGCTACTGTGGGTCAATAGTTTGCAGGACTAGATAGGCCTTGGGTCCAATCCAGCAGGGCTCTTATTAGGTACTTGGGAGGAGGTTGGGAAGCAAAAACAAGGAACAGTTCTAAGAGCCCCACACTGCCAGGAAATCTTGGACTGCATCCCAAAGAGGACATTGTAGGCTTGCTAGCTGCCCCATCAAACACGACACCCCTCCCTTAAAAAATGGATTTTTGAAGGCCATCAGCATTTCTAGCATACTGCTGGGCAGATGATGGATGGCAATTCATCCCAACCAGCTGGAGAGAGAAGGGGACGGTTGGCATCAAACGGGCACTCTGCATCACCTAAATCAGTCAACGGCAGAAGCAGGCTGTTCTCTTCTGCAGTCCCAGAGTGCAGGCTGGCCAGATGCTCCCGCTTTTTTTCAACCTAACGCCCCCCACCCGCCCCCCACAGTCCAATCCAGTAGGGAGCTATTAAGGATGTACTCAGAGGTGGGGGGGGGAGGCCCTCCCTCTCTGACCTACATAACCGCAGCACCCTCCGCTCAGCACAGCAGCACCACAAATGAAGTGCCTTCTCCCCTCCCATTTCTGGGGTGTGGGTGTGGAGCTGGCAGCCCCTCCTAAAGGCCACCCCCTTGAACACTTCATCCCCTGCCACCCGACCCACACAGCCAGCAAAGAACCTGCAGAAATAGCTCTTCATCTTTGTGCAGGCAGCTTTTCCAAGTTGGTCAAGCTCAGAATTCAACAGGGGAAGCTCAGTTCTCTCATCCTTTGCACCTGCCTAGTTGTTGCAATGTGGAATATTTTTTTTCCTCCAACCTTCCGTACTGTTCTGCCTCGGCCTTCACTGCCAGTGTATTTGTGTGTGTGTTGTTGTTTTTTTTTAAAAAAATGCTTGTAATGTTACAAAACAACAAACCGCCCAACTGAAGCCATAGGCACCTTTGCAAGGAGACTCCTACGTCCCACTGTTATGGTCATTAATGTCTACTCCTACTTTTGCAACATGCCATCGCTGCCTTTGCCCAGAACGGCAACAAGACAATAGATAGACGCCCTTGTTAGCGCCCCGCGCTCCCGCTCCCGCCCCCGCCCAGTCAAGACCGACTGCCTTCCCGGGAGCTTCCAAAGGCAACGGCTCTACTTTGCCAGATGCACGGATGATGCGAAGCAGCGGCGGGCGCGATCGATGCCTGGGTGGGATGCAAGCCATGTGCTCTTATTTATTATTGCCTGGCCCCTCCCAGGCCGGTCCCCCCGCCCTAGTGTCCCCTGTCACTGCAATATCCGAGCTTCCAACTCCTTGGACGCCACTGCGGCCAGACTTCAAGGAGGGGGCAGAGTAGTTGTTGTGATTTAAAAAAAAAAATGATGGAGAAATTGGCTCAGCCACCTCCTTGTACAAGAATCTGCTGCTCGCCCACCCAAACAAAGCCAGCGACGCGACCTGCAGGTGGCCCTGCCGGGTGCCAAGCCCACGCCGCCTTGGCAAGAGGCGGCTAGCGGAGCCGGTGCCATCGCCCTCTGCCCCTCGCCTTGCCAGCCTTGCGTCTGTTGCTGCGGCAGCGTCCCTAGCCAGCCAGGCAGCCAGCCCCACTCGGCTTGTTGATGTTGCTGGCAAGGCGAAGTACCCACCCACCCAGCATCGCCTCCTTTCTTCCGCCACCCACCTGCCCCTCCCCGCTCTTAAGCGCCCGCTCACTCCCAATGTGGGTGTGTTTGCATACATTAGATCTGGCAGCGTTCCTGCAGTTTTGCCACCCCACCCCAGACACATCAACACAGCAGTCTGGGCGGCTGCCATCCCCTCTTATTCCCCACCCAGCGCCCAGCCACCCTTCTCTCTCTCCCCCCCACCCTCGAAAAACAGAGTAGGGACCCCTTTGGCTTCCAGGGTGTCCCGGCCAACCGCCTTGCCCCGTTATTGGACAAGGATGGGGACATCCCTTCCAACGCCCTTTTAAAACAGGTGGGCCGCCTATTAAACGGGCCATCCGTTCATGCCAGGAGATTGGCTTTCATGGTGCGAGAATATCCCTTTTACAGAGGGAGGGAGGAAATCAGGCAGGTTGCATTCGAGGGGGGGGCACCCCTTCTCTCGAAAGAGCCAGGCGATTGGCACATTTTGGCACACTGGAGTCGGGAGACTGGCACATTTTATCGCACGCTCCCAGAAAAGGATGAGGGACCGTCTTTTTGTGGGATAGCGAAAACCGGCAGCCTCGATTGTCTTAAACGCGGAAACCCACCGCGACAGAAAAAAATAAACATCCCGCAGCCCCACAAGCCACAACGGACGGTGCGGCGCTTTCGCGATAAATAAATAAAAATATCCCGCACATATGATGCGCATCTATAGGTTCCCACCGCAGCCCCGAGCCACGGAACGCGATCCCCAAAGACCCTCTTGGCTATTTAACCCTTGCCATCCCGGACCATCCTTTGTTTCTCTCCCCGCGCCTTAAATATATATATGTGTGTATATATCCAACACAATAATACACATCGATGCCTTATCGCCCACCACCACATTCTCAATACGCTCTCTCTCTCCCCACCCCCACCCCCTTTAAAATAAAAAGGATGCCCCTTGCTAGGCAAAAACTCACGATCGTGAGACAGGTTCCCTTGGCTGGCGGCGATCAGGAAAGACCCCAGGAGGATTAAGACGTTGCAAGCCGGAGAGAGCATCTTGGGGAGGGTGGGGGGTCCCGGTGGTTGCCTTCGGGGGGAGGGAGGGGGAGGAAGAGGGAAGAGGAGGAAGGCAGGAAGGCGAAGGGGGAGAGGAGGGGAAATCGTCCTCTTCCTGGGTTTCTAGCAAACTTAAAGTCCTTCCCCCTCCCCACTGGGGGAAAAAGGGGGGAAATCAACGCTGGCGCGCTGCCTCTTTAATTCTCCCCGGTGGATCCCTCTGTCTCGCTCTCTCTCTCTGGATCCAAACCGCAGTGGCACAAACCCCAGGCGCGGAGAGAGGCGGGCGGGCGAGCGAGCGAGGGGCCAGGCAAAATAGATGCTGCTGTATTGACTAAAGAGGGAGAGAAGGGATGCGGCAGTAGCTGGGATTAAATAGAGCACCAGGGCGAGACCATTCGGCCTCGGAGGAGGGGGGAGGACGAGGAAAGACGGGAGGGAGGGAGAGGAGAGGGGAGGGGAGACGCCAGCCTCCCCTCCCTTACCCCACCCCCTATACCAGTACAAATTTAGGAGGGTTGGGGGGGGGGCTTGGAATGGAACTGGAGAGAGGGGTCAGGAGCTTGCAATGTTTTGCACCGGTTCCACCCCTCCCAGTTTCAGAGCTTCCTCCCTGCAGGCAGGTCTAGCTGGGTACCCACATTCTCTCTTGTTGTCCTCCCTGCTCCCCTCCCCCCTTTTAGAGCAGAGTTGGTGCAGTCCAGATGGCTCCGTTCCCCCGAGGGAGTGGAATGCTGTTGCTGATATCGGGGCTGCTGCTGCTGCTGATCCCCCCCAGGGTTGGATATTGGAAGAGCAGCCCTCCCCGTCGTCCAAAAAAAAGGAGGGGGAGCCCGAGGAGAGCTCTTGTCCTGACCGCTGGGCGGCTGGCCACCTTGATGGCAAAGGACAAACAAAGCCACTTAGATCTGACCATAGGAGCCAACTCCTAGGGGCCGAGGGGTCTTCGGCCCCCCAATAAAATATGTGAGGGGGCCCGGCCCCCCAAAGTTGATAGTGTGAGTGCGTGCACCGTGCCATGTAATCGATTATGCTGGGTGGGGTTTATCTCTCCCCCAATATTTTATTCAGGTTGGCACCCTGGATCCGACCCTCTCCAGGCTGGAAGGTGCGACGTGTGGCCAGATTGAACCCACTAATTTGGAGCCAAGCTGAGGAAGGGTGTGTGTGTTGGACTACAGTTCCCATCATCCCTGACCATTGGCCATGCTGGCTGGGGCTGCTGGGAGTTGGAGTTTAGCAGGATCTGACTGACCACAGGTCCCCCATTCCCAGGTGCAGAAAACATTGCCTTCAGGAGCAGGGCCGGGCTTGCCTTAGGGCAAGGAGGTTATTTGTCCCAGGTGTCAAAACGAAGAGTCAAGTAGGGCTTGTTGCCAGATTAGCTGCAGCTGGACTCACCTGGGCTCAGTCTGGAATTGGGTTGAGAGGCCCGGATTCAGCCCTTGAACACCAACAGCCTGACCCTGTGTGTTTACCGGAAACACACCCACTGTGTGGGGTACATGGCATACAGAACATCAGAGGTAGTAGGGCTGGAGGGGAAAGACATCAGTCTGAAACTCTGAACAGCTGCTGCTCATCAATGTAGACAATGTTGAACTCAATTGGACCGGTGGTTTGGCTCAGTTTAAGGCAGCTTGCAGTTTTTCTAAGTGTGTTCCAGTTCCATCCTTCTCCTACACTGGAGATGCAGGCCAAGAAATAGCAATCAGGGCAGGGCTATGCAAAAATCAGGAAGGAGGTGCCTCTACTATATGCAGACCTTAAGAGTTTGGGGGCTTCCACTGAGCTGTATAATAATTCTACTACTACTACTTTGACTTATTTATTTATTTATTTATTTATTTATTTATTATTTTATTTATTTATTTATTTATTTATTTATTTATTTATTATATGCCGCCCATCTGACTATATATATATGCCGCCCATCTGACTAGGTTGCCCCAGCCACTCTGGGCGGCTTCCAGCAAATTAAAACATCGAACACAGTAAAACATCCAATATTAAAAACTTCCCTATACAGGGCTGAATACAGAGGACGCCGCCCCCCAACCCGGTCCTAAAAAGTCAGGCCAAAAGATAAACAAGGATGAATACTAACAACAACCAGCTCAGAATGCATAGCGGATATTATTCACCACCATTTTTGCCAGGGCTAATCCCCAGATGGATGAAGGGAGTATTCTGAGCATATGCAAAGTGCTTTCCTCTCACTGCTGAGTTGTAATGTTGTAATGTTCTTTCTCAATTGTTCATGCACACTTGAGCAAAAGAGCTTCCTGGCATGGGTGTAGCTAAGGAGAGGCGGGGGGGGGGCAGCTGCCCCCACCCTAGATCAAGTAAAACAATAGAATTTCTAGACTGAGCAATCATGTCAGTTCTGCCCCCCCCCATGTCCTGCCCCACCCTGACAAAAATCCTGGCTATGCCCATGCTTCCTGGATGCTCCCACTTTCTGCCTGCTCACATCCCTTGCACCAAGCAACAGCGACCCAGGGAAGCTGGCATAGTAGCTCCATCCCAGTCAGTGAGCCACTTCTGTTATTAACAATTACACCTATGCACTGGGAGTTTTTATTTATTTATTTAAAAAAAAACCTTTTTAAAATAATGAAAAACCATCTAAGAGTGGTCATCACCACATATGGTGGCAGTCAGTTCCGTAAGCCCATTAGACACCAGCTTCCTGTCTTAGACCTACTGCCCATCAATTTCACTATGTTATTCTTACCTGGAGTGTTATGGGAGAGGGAGAAAACAAATTTGTTGCTTATCTGGGTTCTCCATCTTGTTACAAACCTAATCATGTCCCCCATCAACTGAATTTCTCTCCCTGAGAAAATTTAAGGGAGGCAACAAAAAAAGAAATGTGTAAGACTCACAAAATTTGGAGGGCGGGATTCACACCTCCCTAATATAGCTAAGCGCTGTGCTGCATCACAAGTGGAAGCCTTTTATAAACAGCTTTTTATGTTCCCTAACCCCCCCCCCCAAAAAAACCACTGTTTCCTCTTTTCCTTTTCCTACAAGGTCACAGGAAAGAGGATTTCCCCCTCTAGATCTTCCTTGCTGGTCTCTACACCTGCAAATCCACACCGCTACTCTAAAAGCAGCAGGGGGGAGGCGGGGGGGGGAGAGTAGCACACCCAGCGGTTGCTGAAGATGCTCTTACTGCAACAAACCTCTGCGATTCAGCCCTAGAGCATCTGGAGCTGTGGGAGGAGGTGGTGAGTGAGGATATAACAAACAATAAATAGCAGGAGATCTTCCAGCATGCCGAAACACACACACACCAGTGCATATCAGTCTTCAAAAGATGCAGGGGTGCTCTCCTCCAGGCAAACCCCAGACGACAGGGAGAAAGCAAACACAGATATCGCCACTATGGAGCAGAGAAAACTGCCTGGAAGTTTGCTCAGGAGTAAAGAAGGGACCCGTTGCATGGAATTTCCCCAGGGAGAGGAGAAATTCTCTGAGCAGCTTATTGGGGTGAGGGCAGCTGTGGCAACAGAACAGCTTCTTTATCTCCCAGCCCTCTGACTGACAGCTTGGCCAACACGTTTTGCATCCTCTGGAACAAAGATGGAGAATCTCAGGCCCAGAGGCCTTTGAAACTCCCGCCCCCCATGCCATGCCCCTTCATTGGCCCTGCTTCATTCCCACCTGGCTGTGGGTGCCCTTGAACTCAGACAGTGCCTCTTGCTTCCATGGATGGAGAACACAGAGGGGTGTGTGCATCCATCTGTCTTGAGAGACAATGGAGTGTGCCTCAAGGGGTGAGGTCAAAGCACCACATTAGCATCACCGAAGTGACTTCTGCAGGGCGCAAGTCTGGGCAGTGTGTAGGGGTGGGGGCCTGGGATACTTGGACGACAAGACCCTCCTCTTGACCTCACTGATGTGGTCCACAGGAAAGCAGAGCAAGACGTTTGGCACCAGCTGGGCTGCAGGAATTGCTGGAAAGAGGTGTACAAGGCGCTATCCAACCATCTTAGGGACTCCACTCCAGATTTGTGGAAGGTTTAGCTCCTTAGTCTTTTCTTCTCCCGCAAGGGAACAGAGATTTAGGACCAGAGCTTTCCTTCTCCTAGATGGAATTCCCCATCTGCCCCTCACTTCCCTCTACAGCACATGCAGAAACCACCTTCTTGACCGTCGGACCCAGTATTGGCACATTTGTGGGTAGAGCGGGGCTGTTGATGTACGCAGTGGAGCCGGAGGGAAATTAAATGCTAGAAAGTGCCAACGGCCACAATTCCTTTAAGAGCTAGGACGTACACAAAATAAGAGAACTTCGCAGGCAGGCTCCAGTATGAAACAGCTGGATGAGAGTTCGTCAAGAAATTCAACAGGTATCCATTAGGGCCTTAAGAGAGACGTGGGTTTCCTTTCGCACTACAGATGCTAAACTCAACATTGTCAGGCTGATTGTTTGGTTATTACCTGTCTGGATAAATGATATGATATGCACAATATAAATGTGATAAAGGTTTATTTTAGTTATTCTTTCTCTATTTTTTTCTTTCTCAGACAATTGTGTTTTGTAAGGAGATTATATATATATATTCTCCATTTTGATATATTGCTTGTTATTATTTTCTTATAAATGAATTTGAATTTTAGTGTTTAATATGTTAAGAAAAACTTTCAATAAAAATGTTATTTTTAAAAAAGGGGGACATGGGTTTCCTTTCCCACTACAGATGCTAAACTTAACCTTGTCAGATTGATTGTTTCGTTATTACCTGTCGCTGCCATTGCAATGGGTCACTGTGTATATTTTGCATATGTATTCCTTCTATGTGAATTGTTGCTCTCTTCTCTGGGCATGTCATTTTCCTCTGACCCCTCTCCTTACAACTGGCCCAAATATATAAAAGGATGTCACATAGAGGAGGGAGAAAGGTTGTTTTCTGCTGCTCCAGAGAAGCGGACACGGAGCAATGGATCCAAACTACAAGAAAGAAGATTCCACCTAAACATGAGGAAGAACTTCCTGACAGTAAGAGCTGTTTGACAGTGGAATTTGCTGCCAAGGAGTGTGGTGGAGTCTCCTTCTTTGGAGGTCTTTAAGCAGAGGCTTGACAACCATATGTCAGGAGTGCTCTGATGGTGTTTCCTGCTTGGCAGGGGGTTGGACTCGATGGCCCTTGTGGTCTCTTCCAACTCTATGATTCTATGATTCTATGATTCTATAAGTGTCAGCTCCCATCAGCATCACCAATCGTCAAGGATGATGGAATTTGTAGTCCAACAAAATATAGAGGGTCCTGCTCCTGCCAGGTGTCTATAAACCTATATATCACGTGCCTATTGAAGTTGTGGCAGCCAACACGTTCATTTAAATTCAATCAATTAATTACTTCCATTCCCCAACTAAG